AAGCCATAGTGAACAGTCGAACGCACACCACACGCCGCGCGTCCAACGTACAGACTTCAAACAATCAACTGTGAGAACGTCCTTCCTCCTCGCCCGCACTCCGCACACCAAATTCAGCGTGCATGAGATGAGGGAACGAAGAGATGACTAAGTACCCCTCCCCTACATCGCAAGAACAGTTAAAGTATTGTAAATAACTGAAAGTCTCATTATCCATGCACTTGTAACGCTCCGATGATGAATTGCCGAAAACATATGTCTGTCAACTACTTTTATATTGGAGAAACCGACCGACAGCTATAAAGTCGAGTATCAGTTGGTTGTTAGAAGGTTGCATCCATAGTCGGCGATAGCAACCCATACTGCAGAGGCAAGGCACGACTTCAACTTCGACGCAGTTAAAATTGTGGGCCGAAGTAACAACTACACATCAAGACAGATTAAAGAAGCCTATATGCCGACCGGCTGTTCAGTAAACAGCTAAAATAAATTTGCCTATCCCCTATGTGGTATTTTGAACCTTCTTATCAGGGAACAGCCATGGTGTGAAACAACTGGAGCCACCAACTAGGTCTACGGCTAACGTGCATAAGCGTGAAACAAGCCAGGGCGGAACGCGCGTGGACGCGGCACACCAGATGTCAAACGCGCATGGGGGCAAGACAAAGACTAGCGCCACTGCGGCAGACAGAGTAAACGGAGACATTGACAGCGGATACACAAACAAAAGTGAGCTGGGTTTGGCAGAATACGCACATGAAAAAATGAGAGCCGGATTATTCAATTTGAAACGTCAGACACGCAATAAACCTCTTCCGATAAACGCACTTCCTTCTCCGCACTAGCCACATGGGAATCGAATTTTCACTACCATTAATGTTCAGCAAAGTGCATGCTATGGTCCTGCCGACAAATTATCGTTTTGTTCCCCGTTCAGCAATAAGCCAGTAAGCAAGCCTACTATGATGTCTCTGATGTTCGTTTGGAGTAGGACTCCGAAAAGCTAGCTGAATAAAGTTCTTGTCCCAGGGATAGTACCGACGTCTTCTCGAGCATACTTTGTGGGTTCACTGTATGCAGTTTCATCTGAGCGCAGTACTCAAGTGAATTGAAAGCAGGCAAAAACAGCAGGATTTGTTGATATCAATAAAGCCTGCTGTTTTGCCTGCTTTAAATTTGTACCGGGTAAAAAATGCTTCAAAATTACTCAAGTGAATGCTGCTAAATACTTAAGCTTCATTCCACCGTCTCGATTTGTCGGAAAAACAACTCTTTAACAGCAGCATAATTTCTGCCTCTGCCATATTCAAATTCTATGAT